GGGGGGGGGGGGGGGGAGGCCAGGAGGAGGCTGCCTCTGCTGCCACCAGAAGACCTTCAACTTGAGCTGAACTGTCATTAGCCCGGCACAAAAACATCGTCACCGTGTCTCCCTCTCCTTGTCTTAAAATTCTCTAGTCTATTTTGGGTAGGCAAGGAGGAGGAGGGAACAAAGGAGGGAGAACCCTGCTTCCCAGACCCAGAGAGTTTGGAGTAGAATGTGCCGGAAAGGCAAGGGGTGGGAGCGTACTGGAGAGATGCCCTGCATCACCGAGATGCTGAGAAGGGTCAGGGCCGTCAGGGGGCCGTAAGCCCAGGACAGGCGGCTTCACCCCTGCTTCTCTTACTAAGGGACTCCAGTTACCGAGGAGGGTCCTAGGGGCCTCCGCCGGGTCTTCTGGAGGGGACCTTGCACCTCCCCCATCCTCCACAATGGGGACGGAGTAGATGGCTCCCCGGGACTCGCTCTCCACAGCTTCCCGCGGCAGCTGGAGCTCCTCTAGGGTCTCTGTCACTGTGACAATGGCCTCCAGCCCGTCAGAGGCTGGGTCAGAGGCCTCAGGCATGGTGGAGGGCTGGCCAGAGTCTGTGAAGAGGAAAGTGTCAGTGGGAGGTTAAACAGGTGGCTTTGCACCCAGTCACAGCCTGAACTCAAGGGCTCTGGGTTAGACTCAGAGACCACGAAATTCTCCCAGTTCTCACTCATCTTTCCTGTGGAGGACCCATGAAGACCCAGGAAGCACTGCAGGACTTTATCACTTGTTCCTCAGGCATTAATCAAGTGCCCACTCTGTGTCATGCCAAGCATTCTTCTGGGCACTGAGGATACAGTAGAGAAAAAAGCACCAAGCCTCCTGCCCTAAGGGAGTTTATAACTTAGCTACGTAATAAACAAACACACATATAACGTTACCATATAAAGAACACTTGGGTAGAATAAGGAAACAGAACGGTGGGAAGTACTACTTTAGATACAGTGGTCAGGAAAGGCTCAGGGGAGAGAGATTCCCTTGAGAAAGGACACGGAGGCAGAAGGAAGGACAGGTGGCCTCAGGACCTTGGGACACCTTGGGAGCAAGGTGTGAGGGCTCCCAGGGCTCCTGAGACTTTTGAAATGGAAGGGGCCAGGGGGCATCGCCCAGGAGAGCTGATGGCTGGAGTGCAGGAAGGACATTCAACAGTCACCACCCGAGGGTCTCAGCATCGGGGCAAGAGGGCAAAGGAAGTGGTCGCCCCATCCTTCCAAAAGCTGCTCCCTTCCAACAACAGGAGCTTTCGAATGGATTACCTCGTCTTTGGAGAAGAGAGCCAAGATCAGAAAACCAATGAAGCGGCCGCGGAACTGGGCTAAGAAAAGCCCCGAGGGCTGTCTGTGCTTAGCCAGACGTGCAAGCACAGCACGTCCTGCCCCTCCCCTCCCCTCCCCTCCCCGCGTCACCTGCTCCAGTGAGCCTCGCTCATGCCAGACAAGCAAACCTGTGTCCTTGCCTGCCTCTGTCCTCCACCTGTTCCCAACCTCTCCATCCAGCCCCTCTTTCTGTGGCTTCCTGGAACAGTGCTTGGCGCGTGATCAGTGTATAGACATGTTCATAATTACTATAATCATCATCATCCGCCTTTCGGTTGGCCTTTCCATAAGGACCTGCCTTCCTCTAGACTCCACTTCCCCACCGCTCCCTAGCCCCAGGCTGAAGATACTTGGAGATCTGTCCAATAGAAGTAATGCTTTTCTCTTAGTCTCTCTTCGTGCTGTGAGCAAGGCGTGCTGTCCTCCCTCAGACGGGGGCTCCCAGGGCAGAAGCAGGCCTTCTCCCTTCAGAGTAGGAGCTCCCTGAAGGGAGAGGCTGTGTATTCTCCCTTCTTTTTGCCTCCGGCCCTTGTCGCAGTCCTGTGGGCTCACACTTCAGGCCAGGACCCACGCACCCCATGGCACTGCCTCCCTGATTGTCAGTCACTGGGGGTGCCTCTGGGGGCCCCAGGCACTGCCTTCCCTTCAGCCCCCAATATAAGATGTGATCAGGAAGCCATCTCTGCCCCCACCTGTCCTTGAGGACCTGCTCCCTGTGGGGGGAAATTGTGTCTGTCCATCAATACTCAGTAGTTAAAGATCTGACACCCTCAAGCTGAAAGTTCTGGAATCCCCCCCTCCCGCCCCGCGAGGGCTCTTGAGGGCATCAGGTTAACTGGAACAGACCATTCGTTGGATTCAGAGAATGTCCATCATCTCTCTCCACTCATGCGCTGACCAGAAATGGAAACCTATCCAGCCGCACGGTAGGGAAGAGGCAGCTTTGACCCTGGAGAGACAGGCGCTCCCCGGGGCCACACAACCCAAGCCAGAGGGCACAACCAGAATGAGGACCCTCGGTGCCCAGCCTCCTCCAGGCGAGCGGCAAAGACCTGAGCAAACCCGGACAGAGCTGGGTGGGACCAGGGGGCTCAAGGCTGTCTGACCCACAGAGAGAGGGTGGGCGTGGTGTCTGCAGGGGGGCTGGCTCACCTCGGAAGCAGTAGACGTTGAAGCGGCTGTACTTGTTGGGGAAGCCGGTCTGGTTGGGGAAGAGGAAGAGAGTCTTGACGCCAGGCAGGCCCCCACCGCAGCGCTGGCTGGGCGTGACGATGGGGTAGCGCACGCTGCCATCGGCCAGCCAGCCGGGGCTGCAGCGGTCCAGGCCGCCATCCCAGGCTGCATACAGCTGGCCCGTGGTAGCGATCTCTGCACCCCGCTCACGGCAGTATGCCCGTGCCTCCTCCAGCGTCAGCTTGTCTGGAGGGGCGCCCAGGAACAGCTCTCCTGGTAGGGAAGAGGGGGCCGGGTCACCAGGAAGTTGGGAGCCCCTTTGACCCTGGGCTCCCGCAGAGACCCTAGGCGGGCTTCTCTGGGCCTCAGTCTCCTCATCTGTGACATGGAGTCAAACGTCCTATTTCAAGGTCAAAGTTCGGGTAGGGCCTCAGCAGAGATGTTATTACTCAGAAGAGCCCGGCTCGACGTCCTCATTCCGCAAAGAAGGTAAGCGAGGCCCAGAGGTGCTAAGAGGCAGAGACATACACAGCGGGTGGCTGCAGAGTCAAACTCAAACTTAGTCTCGTCCCACCTGGCGGAGGCCTCGGCCATGGACTTGCGTCCATGACTGTGTTTGGCGGGAGGGACACTGGTTGTTTCTTTGGAAACAACCCCCCTGGATGCCCGAGTGAACACACGAGGGACGACGGGTCCAGCACAGGCCCCTGAAGGACCTACAGGCAGCACCGGAGAACGGGCTCAGGCCTGGGAACGCCTCACCCCCAATCACCATTTAGGTCTTCAGCGTAGCAGTAGACATCATAGAGGTCATCCGGGTCCACCACGCCATAGTTCCGGACCCCAGGGAAGCCATCCATGTCTCCATAACAGGCCTCCCGTGGGGTCTGGATGGGATACCTGGGAGCGAGTACAGACGCCTTCACCAGGGAGCCATCCAGGGATTCCCCCCCCCCGCCGAACCACACTGCCATCAAGGTAGCCAGCTGTCTTCCCAGTTCTGCAGGGACACCCCCCAGGGCGGGGTCCTCACCTCCCTCCTTCCCAGGAGGCAGGGAGCGCCGTGCGGCTGGCCCGAGGCAGTGGGCAGCCCCCCGCAGAGACCGGGCCACCCGCCACCCCAGACACAACTAGAAGCCCCCGGTCCACAGCCCCAGCCCACCTCACGGTCTGGTCGGACAGCCAGCCAGCATCGCACTGCTCATAGCCCCCGAGGTAGGCGGCGTAGAGCTGCTCCGGGGTGGCGATGCGGGCTCCGATGCGGGCACAGGCCTCCTGGGCCCGGGCGAAGGAGAAAGCGTAGCGGGCAGAGCCCTCCCGGTAGAGAAAGACGACCCCTGAGGGGCAGACAGGAGCCGTGAGGCGTGGTCACCCCCACACTGGCCTCCCCTCGCCCTCCTTGCCACTCCCCTGGACACAAGGGGGGAAGTCCACATCGTGCTCACTCTACAGCACGAGGGGCTTAAGTTAGACTGGGCAGGATTTCCTCCACCTGAAGACAGAAAGGAGGTGACAGAGGCCTGTGTCTACGCACTCCTTTTCCAGCTCAGTCTGTGCCTTCCACGTGCGTTTGCTTCCCCCTCAGACTGTGGGCTGGGGGGGGGCGGGGGTGCGGTCCTGCCCTCCCCTCCCCCCAGGAACCTCCCTCTGTCCTGCCCCTCACCTTTGACCTTGACCTCCACGGCGTCGCTGCTGTCGTCTATGCCGTGCTGGACCTCGCAGCGGTAGATGCCAGAGTCGTTGGGCCGCAGCTCGCTCAGCGCCAGGGAGACGTCGGTGAGTGACGCCGGGTAGGCGGGCAGCGCCACGCGGAACCGGTAGGCCTCGCTCACCTTGACGCGCAGCCCCCGCGCCACCAGCACCTCGGCCTCCCGGCCCCCGGACAGGAAGGTCCACTTGACCCGCGGGGAGCCCAGCACGGCCCGGCGGCCCGGCGGCGGCCGCAGGTAGTGAACGTGGCACGGGATGGTGAGGGCGCCGCCCAGCACGCCCTGCAGCGGCGCGTCGCCCGAGATGCGCACGCGGAAGG